TGGTTGAGCATCGACCCATGAACCAAGAGGTCACCAGTTCAGTTCCCGCTCAGGGCACATGTCGGGGATTCGAGGTCGAGCCCCAGCCGGGGGCGTGCAGGAGGCAGCCAATCAATGACTCTCTCATCACTGATGTTTCTCTCTCTCTCTCCCTCTCCCTTCCTCTCTCCAAAATCAATAAAAATATATATTTTTTTAAATGAAATAGTTTGGAAAAAAAGAGACAGAATCCTCAGCCAGCCATATCGCCCCCCTCCTCCTCTCCACGCCAGTCACAAGATTGAGGCTTTTCCTCTGAAGACACTAAGCAGCTCTAGAAAAAAAATGCCTTCAGGCCCCCAAAACCGAGGACACCCCAAAGAAAAGGCCCTCCCACAACTTAATCATGGTGAGGCGAGCCATTCTTTCATTGCAGGTGCTCAGCAAATAACTGAGCAATGAGCCCACTCGTCCAAGGCGCCTGGGACACTCCAGGTGCTGTGACTGCAATTCCTCCCTGAGGCGGCTTATATTCTACCCGCCCCGTCGGCGTGGGGATGGAGGGAGAATGGCAGTGGGTAAGGGCGTGGCTTTCTACATTCAATTTCGTTTCATACTCACAACTATATGAGTAAGTACAAGTATTCCAAGTACATAAAAATTACACCTAATAGAAGTGGAATTGAAATAGAACAGGCGCTAACAAAGGGTGCCGTCTCAGAGCTGAGGGCGTGCGTCTCATTTGTACTTTTCTGCATTTTTGCGCAGCCATGAAAGGTGACCTGTTGTTTCTATAACTGGAAAACAAGCAATGCCCGTAATTTTTTTTAATTGGTTATTTGGCAAAAAACATGTATCAAGTGAATGCAGTGAGCAAACAAGAGGAAACATTCCACTGCAGAGGGCGGCAACGCCGGACAGTGGAGAGGCCCTCAGCAGCGCGCCTGCGTGTGAAACCGGAGACGGGCAGGCAGTGAAATATCATTTAATAAGCTAGCATTTTTAGTGTCTACAAATTATGTAAAAATATTTAAGGTAAAGTAAGGTCCAGGTCAAACAGAAAATACAACTTTAGAAACCTAGAAACAAAATCCACAAGCAACAGGATGGAATATTTATGAGATCTGTGCCACAAGAGCAATCTCTGCTTTGAAGAGAAGAAATCACAGCGGGGTAAACACACGTATTTGAATATAAAATATTTACAACCTGCAGAAGGAAACAAAACAACAAAGTAAAAAACAAACAAATGAGAAAAGTACTTTTTTAAATATTACAATTGGGAAATAATCTTTTTTTTTTTCCCCAATTGAATGTTGCATGCTAATGGCTCTTTATACTAACATCCCATTAGCTCTGGAAAAAGATTAAAATATTTCACACAAAAAACTGCACAGAGATTTACAAATAGTAAACAAATCAGGAGGAAAATGATCCTAAATAATAACCAAAAGCGCAAATTAGACCAATAGCTAAGTGTCTTTCACTTAATAGCAAAAGATAGAATATAAAGATGAGAGAAACCCCCTGCGGATGTGATTAAGATGAAACTAGATTATCACAACTCAGTTTAAATGCTACAGCCTTTTAGGAAAAATCTTTGGCACGAAACAATCTCACATCATTTGGCTCCCAACTCTCCCATGTGGGACTTTGGTTTTATGGGTTTATCCTGCGCCCAGAGGACTCAGTATCTCACGCTGTTCTTGCAGCCACTCTGAGAAACAGGTATGGCAACAGGCCCAGGGCGTTGGAGTGGTCGGTCACGCGTGGGGGGTGAGGGCATATGGGAACCCCCTGTACCTTCTCAGTTTTTCTGTGAACTTAAAATTGCTTTAAAAAGAATCAAGTCTCCTGGCCTGTGTGGTTCAGTGGCTGAGCATCATCTTGTGCACCAAGAGGTCACAGGTTCAATTTCCCGTCAGGGCACATGCCCAGGTTTCAGGCTCGATCCCTAGTAGGGGGTGTGCAGGAGGCAAGAGACCAATATTTCTCTCTCTCCCTCTCTCTTCCTCTCTAAAATCAATTTTTAAAAATATTTAAAATAATAATAAAATAATAAAGTCTTTAAAAAACCCAAAGAAAAAACCTTTTGGGCTTCAGAATTGGACCAAATCCCGTAAGTTTTTATATAGCCTTTTCATTAATTTTATTTGCTCAGTATAAACTATGATTATATTTTTTAATTTCCTCTTTGGCCTAAGAGCTACTTAGAAATTTTTCTCTTGCATCAGAAAAATGAATCGGTAAATCACCTTTTTCTAATTGTAAACCCCTTTTTCAGCTGTTCTCTTTCCCACTATATGAACCATGGAAGAAAAGCCCCGAGTCATCAAAGCCCCTATTTATCCATCTCGGCAAGATGCACGAGAGGCCCTCCCTCAGGAAGCTCCAGGGCGATTTCCCGTCTTTCACTGCGGACGAGACGCTGCTGAAATTCCCGTGGCTGACAACAGAACCAACAGAATAATGTATTTTATAATCTGTGCCTCCTTCCACGGTGTTAGCTCTGCGCTTCTGTCTTCTGCACACTCTGACAATTCAAACTGAGAAGGGCAATAGACACTCCGGGAGGCTAATTCATATTCAGTTTATTAAATTCAAACTCAATCCACTAACGCAGTCAAGAGAGGGCTTCGGAGCCAGACGCTACTTGGGGCAAATTTCTGCATTTTGTCCCAGTTGACCTTGTTAGATTCAGTGAAAATGCACTGAGGAAACAGGCAGGAGCACTGAACTTCAATCCAGTTCAGCCGCTGCCTAATCTGATAAGTGGGTTCCCCTCTGGAGAGTGAGCTGCGAGTTAGAATGTGAAGTGGGTCCCGGGACTCGCGAGGTGAAGGGTGCTCTAAAACGGGGAGTCGGCGTCAGTGTCCTCTCGGGGTTGCACAGGCTGAAGGAGCTGCTGCGAGGGGAAGGTTACAACCGGGCTTGATGAAGGCTCCGGTGGAAAGCAGCCGGGTAGGGGGAGGTCCTCCCTCTAAACAACGTGTGACTCAAAACACTGGTTCTCCAGGTGTGGCCGGGAACTACTTTCACCCGTGACCTTGTTAGCGAGCAGCCTCGAGGGCCCTCCCTGGGCCTACTGGTTAGGCTCTCGGGGGACAGAGCCCAGGAAACCGTGCTAAAAGCTCTCCAGGAGATTCTTACGTACGTTCAAGTTTGAGAACCACCGAGGTGAAGGAAGACATTGAAGGAGGTAAACGGTGTAGAAGCAGCAACTCTAGGAGTCAAGGCTAAAGGGAAGGAGCATGGGGATACTAGTCACCTGGCTTCTGGGGCTGGGCGGCCAGAGCAGGTCCCTGGCCCACACCTGGGGAGGGGAGGTCCAGGGAGGAGGTAGGGCCTTTTGATTGGCAGACTTATTGGTGGGAATTATACAGAATTTTAGGGCCTACACGAGCTAGGTGGTGTTAGCGGAGGTATTCTACTCCCAGCTGGGAACTGGATTGTAAACCAAAATTTAAGTCCAGTCATAGAGGTTAGAATGGAATTAGAACCTAAGGTAGTCATTAGGTAAGGAGGGCAGGGGAAATGGTGAGCACTGCTATGACCTATGCTATTCAGGTGTCCAGGGCCGGTTGCCAGCACACAAACAACAGGTCTGTGGGCAGCAATGCTAAGTTTAGGTCTCGAGGGTGAGTGGACTGGGGACCCTGATTTAGTTCCGGTTCCGGTCAGCATGAGTTCCACCCAGACATGCCTGGCTCATGCAAGAGGCAATTGTAGAGGAAATTCGAAACTGACCAGTCTGATTTTAGCACTGAAAACTAAGATCCCTCAGTTCCAGGAAAAGCAAGAAATGTGGTCACCCTACAGCCAGGTAAGTTATAATTTTCTAACGTGACATTTCTAATGGAACATTTGTAGTTTACTTTTTGTTACTTGGCACCTTGCTAAGTCATTTAAAATATCACTTTAATAATGATGTTTAATTCAGGAGATTTGTGTGATTTCAAAGTGTTTCCAGAAATTTGCATAACTGTATTTCTAGATTGTGGACCAAAAATAATTGTAGGCATATGTTATGTGTAATTGTATGCTATAAGGTTTTTTTTTGCAATACCACTATTCGAAAAAAATGAGGTTCTATTTTTAGGCATTACTAGACACTTCCTAGGTGGGTGAGTAGTGGAAGAGCTCTGGGACACCTGGCCTGGCAATGCCCATCGAAACTCAGGGACAAAACCATGGAGCAGCTGTGAATTAAAGTGATGAATGAATCACTGACTCACAGAACTACTGGGGACACAGAGCTTCCACACAGGTGCAGAGAAAGCAGGTAATCTGATCTGGGTCACCCCCCTTGAGGGCTTATGCCAGGTTGTTTAGGACACTTGTAAAGTAAATAAAGTTCCCTTCACTCCAGAAGACTATTTCAGCTCATTTTACACTTTTGATATGAATCGCTAATAATGGGTATTTTTCTGGAAATTTTTCTGAAAATGACATCTTTTAAACAAAGCCAACTTTATAAAAATCTAATACTATGTCTAAGGGACTTGGGAGCCATTCCTCTAAATTATGCACCTATAATTAGGTGCTCTAGGTTCTCGGTTCCATAAATAACAAACCAAAGGTGAAGTGAACCTAAGATTGAGTTATCTCCTGCAGAGAAACGGCCGCCTGGGAGTCACGAGTACATGACTAGGGTGCTCAGGAGCCCCTTCCACCGACCCAGCACTGCAGCCAGAGGGAGGGGCAGGCAGAGAGAACTCCCCAAGAGACAGCCGCCTTGGCAGACCATGCCTGAGCTCGGACCTCTTCACCAAAACCTGTCTGAACCCTAACTACTACAGTACAACAGAGCCTTCTGGAAAGAAAGAAATAAATGGGAAATCGGGAAATTTATTCTAAAATAGTTAGCCAGGAAAGGAAGAAAAATCTGTATGTAATGTCTGGGTCAAGCTATTTTACTTTAAAACGTCAACCCTGGGGGAGGAAGGCATGGCTGAGTTCTTACACCCGTACAACTGACAGCAGACCTCTGATTCTTAACACAGTCCAACAATTTGTAAATATCTGTGGTAGAAAACAGAGAAGTCTGTTTATTTTGAAATTATTTTAATTTAGAAATAGAAAACATCTTGGAAGAAAAAAAAAAAGAAAGAACACCACAAAACATGTAGGCAATTTTTTTACTCCATAAGCGCCTCAAATCTCCACTGCTCACCAATCCCCAAGAGGAAACCTCCTCACACAGGTGCTCAGCCACCACTGCAAGAGAGAGAAAACGCCAGTTCTGAGAACATGTAAGCTTCTCATAACAACCTGAAATGCAGCAGCTGTGACTTTATGGAACCCAAACCAGTCATTTGAGAACCCCTCCTACATGACCCCAAGAAGCCATAAAATAGAAGAAAATGAACTTTAAAATCTTGGACTGAGAAGGTCCTCGGAGACGAGGTGGCTGCTAGAACAGACGTATCTTAAAAACTGGGAATCCCCCCTTAGGCAATGTGCTCTACAGTCTGGCATAGTGTCTTTCTGAACAAGACACAAACATGAACTACACAACAGTGCTCAGGGGAGAAGCTGTTCATGTGATGGACAATATGCCAGCTGACAATCAAGAACTCAGACCAGCACAATGGTTCCCAACCACGACAGCTCACCAGTCACCCAAACGCCTGGTTCAATTATATGAAAACATATAACTCAGTAAATATCAGCAGATTCGAGCAGCATTATAAAGTAAAGAGACATATCTGCACATTAACGAAACAGCAAACTGTCAACTCACACGCTTTCAATTTTCATTCTAGTCCAGATATTGTCTATTTCAAAAAGTTTACTTACACAATAATGTTATTAATAGGGATATGGATCAGTTTCACAAAAAAGCCAATGAACCCCATTATAGCAAATCCTATTGCTGTTGCCATGGCAATCTTCTGGAATTCTGGATTAAAAACACAAAATTCATCATTTTCTCAGTGTCATTGCAAGTACAGGAAAAAAACTAGCAGTGACATAAACTTACTGGTGAACATATCTCCTGATAATAAATATATAATTTTAAATAAAATAAAATATGACACTATTAAGAGTAAATAAACTGTTCGACAGACTTTTAAATTTTCATACCTTACTGATATTTACGAAACAGAAATAAAGTATATGCTCATGCTAGCGAATCCACCAACAAGCAGTGAAATATTTTATCTTCTCAGCAAACGAACAGCATGTCGAAAAGAAATAAAAAGTGCACAGAAGAAATAGAGTATGTATCCTAAAAATTTTGTAACATTGCTAAAAATATTGATTATAAAAGCACAGAACATAATTGTTTATAAAAAGCAGGTCCACTGTCTTTGATATAATATGAAGCCAAAAATACAGCTTAAAAACCAAACTGGGTTGAGCCCAGTTTTATGTGAAGATTTCAGACCCTGGTGCTGTTTCCATGTCACGTTATTTCCTCGGGGAAGCATCGAGGCATGGGCAGTCCTCCTGCTAGAGCCTCTATTTCTCTTCCAGAACACTTACCACAGCAGTCACTAAAAACTGTAGCTGCCAGTATTTATGACTGCCTTCCCTGCAAAAGTCTCAGCTCCATAAAAGCAAGGAATATTCTCCCTTATATATTGTTCCACAGTTTACTCTCTATAGTACAATGTACTACGTTCTCTATTGTACTCCCAGCCCCCAGCCCAGGCAGCAGTCAGTAAGCGAATACAAGAAGACAAACTCTGATGGAACTTTTAATGCATGAATCACAGTAAGATATTAAACTTCCTGGGCTGGCAACAACTATCTGCTGATTCATGTTAGGCTCTGTTTGGGGGAGATGAAAGGGGGCAGACAAAGCACGGAGGACTCCCAAAAGATTTTCCAGAGTGAAAGAATGGAAGATACTAGAACTCTAAACCCATTAAAGATGACTAAGGCAAAGATAACATGAAACATGGGGTTGTAATAAATAATCTTACACCATTTGAAAATACATAAAACAGAAAAATGTATAAAGTATGCAAAATACAGAAACAACTGACAATGTTAAAAAGCAATAAAGCAAAATAAACCAATAAAAATGCAGATGACAGAAAGTAATGCAATGGCTATTAAACAGGACACTATTAACAAATAAAAGGCTTAGAAAATGCGAAGACTGAACTCTTCCTCTCACTTGCAAGCTCTTACCTTTTCTGTCGGGCTTGGTGCACCTTTTAACGAGTCGAATGGAATCCTTCACAAACTGCCGACTTGGCTCAACGAACTGCATTACCTGATCCATGACGCTTGTTTAAAAAAGTGAGTAAGAGAAGAGTCGTTGGTATTACTTATCATACAGCAAGAACTTGGTCAGTTACATCAAAGTGTAAATGAGACCGGCCTGAAAGTCATGCCTGATATGGGTCAATCCCATCTCACAAAACAAGCAAAACAAAAACACACACAGGCTCCACGCCTAAACTGACATGAGTTTTGTAAAGTCCAGCAAAACATCAGATCAATGACAACGGCACACGATTTGCTCAAGTTATCATCACTGACAAAAGATGTGCGCACAAGGGGCTATCGACATTAAACGGTTGAGCGATTATAACACATCCGGTCCTCACCCACTCTGCAGGCCTCTCCTTCCTGCTGAGGAGCCAACAATGTCGGGAATCCCACAGACATTTTCTGTATTTTATCTGAAACTCCCCAGAACTCAGTGTCTCCTGCAGTAGATGCCGGCTACTTGTGGTACAACAGCCACAACGTGGATTTCAATCTGACTGTTCCAAACCACCGCCAACCAACATTTCCAGAAAAGAGTATATCTGCGTGGGATAGATCTATGAAATTTTAGGACTGACTAAAGCTATTAGCTAAACTCCAAATCTTTAGGTTTGGACACAGCTCTAAGGAAACTGGGCTACAGAGTTTCTCCTATAGGTTCCTTTATGGAATCTCTTAATAGAAACACCACCTAACCTTAGCTCTGAGAGCCACCAGACAACAGCCAGGGAGGCCAGTGTATCACTCGTACTCTACCATCATCTCCAGGGCCTAGGGCCGGGGCCGCGCACATAAACACTCCACTCGCTGCTGCTGGATCAGCGAATGTCACCGGGTGGGCAGGTGACATTCGGGGTAGGCGGCGGGGACATAATGGACATGGACCATTCAAAACGCACCAGGAACTCTGCAGAGGCTGGGCCAAGTACGCCGGGAACGCATCAGTGCCTGTGCTCCCAGTATTTCATTTAACTGTGTTCTTCAAACCAGGGGCCTTAACCTTTACAGAAAGGTAAAGGCCCTTTCCCCGGGTGGGTGGGGCGACAATGCACAAAACACCGGGGTCAATGTCACAAAGTCAGGAGGGGCCCCAGCAACCCACTGCGACCTGCTGGTCTGGAATCCAGACCGTCCTCCATCCGGGAGCGGCGGCAGGGCTCGTCCGAGGGCCTCGCTCCCGGGGGAACGCACGTCCGAGGGAACTCTCAACCGAGGGGCCTCGTGTCCCGAGGGGACTCACAACCGAGGGGACTCGCTTCCGGGGGACTCAATCCCCAAAGCCAACCCCGAAGGCGCCCGGCGGCGGGTCACCGCCGGAGACCCCGGCACCCAGCCCAGGGACTCACACGCAGGCGGCCGAGGACGGGCGGCCCCGAGGCCGACACCTGGGCCGTCTCATGCCCGGCAGG